CATCTAGCTGGTGAAGGCCATTATTGTCAAGTAATTGGCTTAACGGCATTAATTGGTGGAAGTTCTCTTGTTGTGGTATCATGCCAACTACTAAGGCTGATCGTTTGCACTTGTTCGCTTTAAGTAGGTATTGGTGGACAAGGTTAACTAATTTAGAGGACAAATGAACAGAAGAGTATGCATTTAGCTCAATGGAAGAGATTAACGGTGATGTTCACTGTCGCAAACTGTGTGTTTCACCAGCTGGTCAACACGGACTTGTTATCTGGCCTAGAGTATCCATAGCTAGTGAAACGGGGATGGATCTGAGGGTGCCATTTTTGTGCTCACTAGACAGGAATAACCAGGCTTGAGTTTGTGATGCCAAACGCCAGCGCACAATGAGGAGTTACGTCAGTTAGCTTAACCTTCACATGCTCTGATAGAAGGAAACTTATAATGAGTGGATACCTATGAAACAATGATGATTAGGTGGCTGATCGAGCAGAAGTCACTGCCCGAGCGATATTCACCATTCTACCGCATTTTATTGGCTCAAGTTCATAGAGCATTCACAAAGCACCTTCTAGGTGCTTCTTCAACACTGGGGGATTTTGAACGTTGTGATAAGCTCAAAGTTGATCCGCTCTGGATACGGTGTTTGAAGCACAACCTAGTTATATTTTCAATTTTTGCACAGAAACATTCACGTTTCTAACCTCGAGAATTCATTGCTTTAGTCAGCCGTCTGCAACACACGACCTACAGAAATCAGTGGCGGAGAGCAAGTCCAGGATCAGGAGGTCAGGGAACCTTGTCCTTAACAGTTATGCCAGTCTGGAACAAGCTACCACCTGGAATACATGCCTGCACTCTTGAACATGAATTTGACAAATGCAGCAATAATTTCATGGCTTTACAAAACGTGTTCAATTTTTGCTTGTTCTACAACGACAAGCCGAGAACACGAGCAGTGTCCAGGTTTCATATGACTGGATACACGTTTTAACACCCTACTGTCCTGTGAATGGGCTGTTTTACAACTAGGTATCTCATTATATAAGCTGAATTCCAGTTTCCTGATTCACCTGCGATCAAAGTTCTATACGAGTGTGTACTTTTCCGAGCGTGCCGATATAGACCTATCGCGTACCGTCGAGAATAAAATGTTTATTTATTTATTTCCTGTACTAGGTTCGTAAATTTCGACTAGTTGAGTGGTAGCAGATTTTTCGTTTGACCCACATTTGGACGTTTAAAGTGTTGCTTCTCCTCTCCAGTCTCCATGTTCCTGTCGACGCACGACAACAACACAGCCCCCCTTGTCTGACAGGTAGCTGCCTAACTCAATCTTAAGACCTAAAGCCGCAAACCGAAACAGCCAGTGTTACGCTGCATCCTATTCCCATTTAGTATCATTTTCTATTTGCGAGCTTTATTCATGCCTCCTGATTGCATGCGTTTGGGGCTCTGTATCTAAGACAACCGAATCATATTCGTAGCAGTTCATAAATCTGTTGCTCATACTATGTGGATGCATGTTTACGGTACAATAGTTTGAAGTGTTATTCAATGGCAGCGGCCTTTTACCAAATGTACGCACACGTTCATCTACCGTGTTATCTTTAACCCACCCCTCCCCTGTCTAGAGCCACTTGGCAATTAGAGTATGCTAGACGGTATAAATTCCGTACCGTCATTCTGCCCCGCGTGATTACGGTCAGCTTGTAGGGGCAACAGTTGCTACGTCTTCAGTTCACCCGTCCCATATGAGCTTCACCCTTTCACTTGACCAACCGTCATAAATAAACAAACAGTTTCTTCCTAAGCAGTACCAGAAACGGTCTAACTTGTCGATCTTGAATAGTTGGTGAAACGACTGTTCGCAGGCCAATCCAGACTTTTGTTGGTAATCAAGCTGCGCTTCGTTGGAGCGCAACCGAGCCAATTCTGCCTTGTTCCCTCGATCGTGAGCACTACGCTGGAAGTGCGCTTAATTAACTTCCTTTCTGTCTGAGCAATCTCTATGCTGTTAACCCAAGCGATGAGCTGCGGTCATACTTGGATCAAGAAGAACCTGCTCAACCTCATAGTTAAAAGCAGATAGCAATGCAAAACCTTAATGAACACCATTGGGTATACGTCATCAGACCTTACGAACTGCAGTATAATCCGACTCAGTGGAATAACTTACTTACAGGTTGCGTGCTTTCAGACGGGCCCCTAAAGCTGGTGATATGCAAGTCAATAACTGCTTCCCATATCAATGCTGAAGGATTTCGAGAGAATACCCACAATTATTTACCAGCCACCAAAAGACAATAGGAGTTTGACGCAAGCTACCTACCCAGTGAACTGCAGTGAACTGTCTTGTGATCAACAACCCAATGGATAAAGCATAGCGCTTACTAATAAATCCAGTGTCCTAATCGGAAGAAGCATGTGCAACCGGTACTACTATATCGACCGAAGTAGTAGACACAACGAGCCAAAGTGAACAATAGACCTACTAGCGTCATTGTCCATTCATGTTGACAAAACGGGTCCGCATGTTCGATATGTTCACTTAGATCACCTGTCATAGATTGAATCATCTGAATTGAACCATCTGTTGACTGAATGGTCTAACTAAGCATGCCTTCGTCTCTATAAACTCGGCTGTACCTGGCTTGAGTGAGTTTCAGGTGGCCGGACAAATAAAGAGGCATGGGACGTGATGGAACTGGGACATTGTATCGTGGCTATCAACGACCACAATTTCATGCTATATTTCAACTGGCACTATTAGTAAAGCATCGATTCTCTAGTGGCAATCTATGCTCCTGAAAGCAGGCTCCACCATTGTATACTTGCACAATGGATTTGTGAAAGGTAAACAAGAGAACGCGTAACAAGTCAAAGTGCCAAACTAAAATATAAAGGTGTCACAAAGAATAAATCTTGCCGGTCGCCTTACTGCAATTTGTGCATGTGCACACACTTTGGTTGCGTCCTGATGTGGTCCAACAATGTAGGCCTAATCATCGGAATTATTTATATCTACAAGTAGAGTAGTGCTTCATCAAGATATTTTCGAAACTGTTTACCATAGGAATGGATATCACAGATCTTGGAAGAGCGTTCCGCCACTGATACACTTGCAAAAGAGCAAAAGGTTTTCTTTCTTCTTGACCCGGAAACTACTCAAAGAAATGACAGGTGCATTTTACCGGAGAGATCATAATATGCATTGAACATTTTCTCTTGTTTTTACTTTGCCGTGGCGATTACATATGTGTTACGGTTAAGAATTCTTGCGTCTCTGTGTATAGAACACATTCCTGATTTGGCACGATGCAAGAACTGAGGTGAGCAGATGAAGAAGTATAACGTTAGAGGATCCAGGCATTTTCCACTGTCTTCTCAGGCAAAAGCGTAACTCAGATCACTACAAAGCAAGGCAATGCGAGCAGTACTTAGATCTAATTAATGTTCAGGGCCACCGTCAGCCGAAGGTTTCCCACGCGGACGGTCTCAAGGTCGCACTCAGTGCCGTGATTCTTCCTCGGCTAGAATGAGAAACGCCAAAATCTCTCCAAAGAATCGGGATGGTCGATGTCTACGTCACAATAACGGTCGGTCCAAATGGAACTTTGCGAACAGTGGCAACCATGCAAAAATCGATCAGTTAATCACAGCCATTTGCTCCTATACTCAATGGGAACGGCTAATCCTGTGGCTAGATGTTGTTTGGGTTTTAATCGCACTGATGGAGTAACCGTGTCGAGTCCCCACCGGCAAATTTGTTACGCCTAAGTAAGTGGTAAACGTGAAGTGTACGCAATCGGAAACGGTCCGAGGTCCTGCCACGGTTGCTTGGCGAATGATTCTAAGAGGGACGCACTCAGTGAATTCAATGGTACTGAATCTCACCAGCCAGTCAGGATCCTTTTTGTTATGACAATAGCTGCTAGCAGAGTAGCGGTTAGCGCAAATGTACCTGTTAAACGTAGTGGACTGTGACACACTGTCACACAATCAGCCACATCTGACCACGCTTTCTATGTGTTCGCTTTTACCCAGTACCATACTGGGCCCCATCAAGTGAAATTTGACATGATCCGAAAGGGTAATGAGACGTAACCGCAGATTGGAGGTCGGAGGGGATACCCGAAACGGTGGACTGAACACAACCTACATCTTCGTGTACACTACGCTGATGCATTAGGAGGATCCAATTTCCTATGTCCTAGCAGGTATTTCTGAATTGTCCGGTCATCACGTTGTCAAATACAAATATTTCGGCAATTCAATCCACTTTAATGCGGAAGGGCAGCTACGGCACACCTATTCGTAACAGTCCAGCTGCATGAAACCCGATCAACACGCAACAGCTGTGGCCTGTTTGGGGGTCACTAAAAGTACAGCTCGCACCCAGGGTTGCAGCTGGTTGCTTAATGCGATAAAGCTCTGTTAGCAGGCACGGATCCGAAACATTTCGATACATCAACGCAACAGCACGCGTACATTTAGCTTGTGAATCCACGCCATTCTGCTGGAACCAGTCAGTAAGAGCGAGCTCGGTCGGGTTTGTAACTGACACCGCGATCGTCCTTATTAGACCACAAAACAACCCCGAGAAAGGTGACCAATCAGAGTGGCACAACACCTTGTCCCGACACCTACGCGTAGTTCAATTTCCCCTCTCCGATCACGTGACAATTGCGGCCGAACTCACCGCCAGGCGCGCACATGACGGGTTGTCCTTGTGTGTGTGCGGACGCGTGTGGGGAAGGTGCGTGATCCGAAGGTAGGGAAGCAATTTGAAACGGATGTCTGCATCACTGTTGTTGCAGGCATTGGTGGAAAGATAGTTCAGTTCAATTCGTTTGGGTTGGTTTGGTTTGCGATGAGAGATTTGTTTCGTTGTCGAACAAATCAAGTGACTCGGAGCACAACCCACCATCAATCTTTTCCGGATCCACAATCGCAGCTGACATTTGGCGTCTGCGGGCTACCGCAATCGCGGGATCGAATTTATCATGGGTATGTTTATTAGTGTAATGTTTTAAGAATTCTCACGATGATGTGAACCGGTTAATACAAACCATAGATCAAGAGATATATAGTTGCTAATGACTACAAAATAATTTTGACGCAACAAATTTTCTTACAGTGAAACAATGGGTTGCGAATTGGTTTTGGTAGAATATCTGTTGAATAATTCACAAGCTAGTTGGAGTAATAACCTGTTTCTCACTCATCTGTGTTCTTCAACAATGATCGATTGCAATAGGTGATACCCGCTGAGTTGAACGTATCTTCTTGCAATCTAAACTTGCAATTTCATAAGCCCGACTAATTAAACCCTTGTGAGAGTGATAAAGAGCTTTCCCGCCGATTTATTAACTGCAAAATTTGCTAGAACTTGGAAACCTGGCTCGACCAATTTAATGGTTTGAATCAACAATCAGTTTTATTACTAAGGCGGAAGGTATCAAAATACATGACTCATCAGATACTCTATTCACACACGCTTCGGTGTAAATATTATTGATATTCACAAGTGCGCTTGTATAAGCTGAGCAATATCCTATGCTTACTTTACATGTTTAACCCCATGTGCACCTCTCGTCAAAATAGGTGTCAGGGTTTCAATTACTAAACTTTATTCCTCGGTCTAGCAGCTCAGGCAGGATGATCTTGTAGGAATAACTGTCCCAGAAAAATTTACTATCATTGATAACCATTGAAACACGAAAAATATGAAAAATAAAGAATTTAATATGGCATGTAGTGAAGTCTCTCACTGATAACTTCGATGGCTAACAACCGAGGTATTTATGAAGTCACAGCAACACGAAGAAATATGGAATGAACGCTCAGCAGGTCTGGGCATAGCTGATGAAAAAGTACTTTTTAGGCCTATCTTATTCTCCATTCTGAAAGCGTCATTAATGCTTATCGCCAAAAATCAAAATACCCATGATGTTGTAAAATTTTGTGGGAGTTAATGCTGTCGTATGATTGTCGCTAAATTGATCAAGCATGTAATTTTAGTACCCTGTGAAAAATTGGAAATGTCGATATGTCCACTTGCTCCCGTCTAGTTCAACTGTCTCTGCAACCGACTGAGGCTCGATGTACCCAATATACAGGTGCTTCTGTTTTCTACGTACGTACAAAAGTAGTTTGTTATTCACGCTGTTACGCTAGCTGGGTTAAGTTGACGTTTGCTCTGATGCAGCTTTTTCGCATACCTGTTAATGCGGTCCACAGGTGCTCAAGTTCGAAAAGCGTTATTCTTGTCCTGGGTCATTCCAACTACGTGAAATTGATTGTCGCTCAATACACATACTTTTCACCACTCCTGTTCGACTACAGTTCTTTTACCTGTTAATCGCTTCCATCGTCCTATCTGTTGCTGGTGAAAAACGTGCGTCCTCAGTGGTATAGTACGCGAGCACCGCTGGCTGGATGCCGTTGCTCCTTCGCCTTGGGGTTGCAGAAATAACTTGAATTCGTCCTACACCGACCCACTTGGTCAAGTAAATTCGTTACAGGCAAATTAAAGCACGCTACCACTGCCATCCGGAAGAACACCGGATGGATGTTTCGTCCTAGTTGAACTTGTCAGCCATGCCTATTTCTTCGGGGTTTTTCTGAGCGTTTTATGTAACATCCCAGCAAAACCATGAATGGCTATTTATTTGTAATAAAGCTCACCAAAATGGTACGTGTCACTTGAATGACGTAAGACTCGAGCACACATGCATCCGCTTTACAGGTAGAAGCTTGCATTGCTGAAAGAGACACATCGATGTCCTAACTAGGCAAGCTAGAAGCCGTTCAACAATATAGACTATTGTGCACTACAATGCAATCGTTTGTAGCACACGGGGGGGGCGGCTGAGTCATGATCTGGTTAATCAAGGCGGAAATCAAGTCAAGATAGGCTTTATGTACCCGGATGGGTGCATTTTCTGCGTTTTACACTAGCTATCACAAATGTGATAAAACAGCATCGGTAAATATGAGAGTTTTACCAGTGTAAAGGCAGAATGGAAAGGAGTGCGTATACGTCACTTGAGTAAACAAACCCGCATCTGAGCAAATATCAAATATTGAGAGAGAGTTGCAAGATTTATTATCCGGTTGACGATGTGAATGTTAAAACGTTTGTTGACAGCGCATTTCAGTTGGATGGAAGTGGCAAATTGTGAGTTATGTGCGCTCTCGGTTAATTTTTCAACGAATCCGTGAAGTTGGGAGGCCTCAGTGACCTTGAAATTGTTCAGCCAAAGAATTCGGCAAAATATTCATACGGAATTAATGCGTCCGCAGTAGCTCGTGCATAAACGATGTTTCGGGGAGAGCGACAACGGGCAAGTCAAAAGCCTCGCCGTCAGCTTCACAGCCATCATCCTGCTCGGAAATTTGCACTTGAACGTACTGCCGAGCTTTGGTAGTTGTAGCTGAGGGTACGGTATGTGAGACATCAGCAGTTTAGTGCAATCAGCCCCAGCCAGACAGAGCCTACAACACCTCAGGGAATGCTATTCGGCAGTTAAGCGTACCCGCGGCCTAGTGGCATAAGTCGCTGGCATTGACAAGTCATGGACTTGTCCTTGGTAGAGCCGACGAATATGCACTGTCGACGAGTCAAAACAAGGCGAAACGCCCGTTTAGTACAGTAGAGAATATGCGGGAGTTCGTCTGACTGTCACGAACCATTAACAAAATGGATTATTAATACTCAAGTGTATGCAACGTCACACTCGGATGAAATTGACAAGGTAATGTATTGGAAACCGGTTAGTGTATGGGCGATATAAGCGAACAATCGCCGTGGTGGCGAGATATAATCATATATGCAGCATTACTAGTTTTGAGCGGGGGGTTATATCTTTGTCCACTCCTTTTGATCGTAGCCTTTTTGCCCCGACAGAATAGGTCTGTGCCAGTCTATGGAAAGTGAATATCTCACTAGCTTGTTTGCAATGCCACCAAGCTCTTCCGTGTGCAAACGGTACGGCGGATGGTAATAGTCCCTTAGAACTGCAACACTAGATACCTCGTAGACGGCTGGATGCTCATCGCACAACCTCCTAGTAATGAAAATGAACATTGAATTTATACAGGTTAAGAAGCAATGCTTTTCATGTCCTGTCGAATGGTTTGGCAGAGTTATCAAAAGTAAAAAAAGCAATGGGTTATTTACGTTTAAAAGAGGGACATATGGTTTGTTTCGCTGTAGTCTTGCGATCTGCATAGTTTCAAAGCACAAACACGGTACAGTAAATAAATCAAAGTATATTCCAGAACTGGAATGGAGATGTAGTACTAGGTAACAAAGTGTAGGTGAATAAGTGAGTCATCCAAACATCTTTTAAATATGGATAGTGATGGTGCAGAAATGACCGATTCTGGAAGAGCATTCCACAGGTGACAAGCGGACGGAAAAGAAACTCCTGCGGCAATCCAGGTGGCTGTACTGTTCTGTCAGTTTTAGTGAGTGACCGCTCAAGTTAATACTACTGCTGAGTTGCAGCAGAGCGGCACACATGGTGTGGATCGTGCAGAATTAAGTACACCATTATCAGGGCACCACGTCAGCAGCGGTAACGTCCGCCGAATACCCCCAATCGTTCCAGCCTCTCCTCGTATAGAAGATGGTGCATTCCAATAAGGTACTTTGATGCTTGACCTTGTGGCTGCTCTGATGCACTAAGGCCGTGTTTTAGCCATGGGTGCCAGGTTTGAATAGTAAGAGGCCGATATAATGAAGGCAGCGAAGGAAGCAAGGGGGTGGGAACGAAAAGGTGTCAGTAAGGTCCGAGCAAGTAACACTCATCAACCTCACACCTTTTAGCGTGTTATCGCGATGCCTGCCGACCGGTTACATTATCCACCCTCTCAGCAGGCGCTGTCCTTAGCGCCCATAATGGCCCATACTGGCATCAACTTATGTACCTGCAAGAGGTATTAAACTCGGTATATTAGGCTCGGGAGATTCAACCACAAACAGTACGATAGCAGAAGAGTTAAAGATGACCTCACTAGCTACAATCAAGCTTTGTGGACTACTGTCGTGAACTGGCAGGGTAGCCAAATATGTACTATTCCTCCGGTTTGGCCTTCCAAGCTCTTCCCTGTCCATATAGTATGACGGACCGTAATTGACCCTTGGAGCTGCAACACAAAATAACTACCTCGTAGATGGCTAGATGCTCATGTCCCAACCGTCTAGTAAGAGACCGATCTAATGAAGGCAAAGAAGGAGACACCGAAGAACAAAGGGTAAATCGTACCGGAGAGAGGCGACAGTAAGAGGAATCGACGACGACAATGGCTCCAATCCTCGTCGACCTCTTACTTTCTATCGTGTTAAGGTGACAATCGCGGACCTGGTACACTTGGAGTAACTCATGGACAAATTATTTTTTCTGCTCATTGGTGTGGGTTTTCCCCGGGATTTTTGCTTGGGGCTTAGCGGATGTCTGCAGGGATTGTACGAATTAACGAAGAACGAGTTTTATGAATAAAATTAATTACCTGGTATAGTTAGGAACAAAAGTGTCGACCCCATGCTGAAGTGTTCTGTCAGCGAACCACCTTAGATTGGAAGATGAGACCAGGAGCCAAGGAGCGATGTGCCAAAACCAACATTTGCCACTTAATCCGTACGTGCTTCAGCTTTACCTAATCTAGCAAATCATATATACAGCTGTTAAATGTTTTGTTGTCTATGACTACTATACGGTCCAATATTGTTCTCTATACAGTTCGAAAATTGCAATGCCGTTTGGGCTCAGTTTTTAACTGTATCGTAGTTAGGCTGTAAGTCATGACGGTTTGGCCTTGTCACCCATGCCCCAATGGTACAACCCGTTGGCTTCCAGAGATCGTGCTTCCAGTTCTTCTCACTAAGAACAAAGCGGCACGCAATCTGACTCGTCCCACTGAAACGAAATAGTGGTCTAGTATATTTCCTGAAAGTATAAGAGGCTACCTGACTTGGAACTACTGAAAAAGCTTCTCAATAA